CAATCCATTGTTGTTTTATAAACATAAATCCTGATGGGCCATTTGGTCCCCTGTTACCAAGAATTTTTATGTGCCTGAAAAACAATTGAGGACTAATCAGTTCCATACTACATGGAATAAGATCATGCTTTTTTTTTCCCCTTTTTTCCTCCTTAGCAAAAGAATTTTGACCTTTTTTTTTTTTTTTACTAAAAATTTTATATATGATGACAAAGAACTCTTTGTCTTAGTGAAAAATGTCATAAATGCATTAACTAATATACATTTTATTATTAATTTAAGGAGCTAATAGGGTGAACTATTTTGTTTAATTCATTTATTTACTTATTTATTTTTAGATCTGAAAGGAAGATGTCAGCATATATTAACTTATACCTTATAGTTTCAGAAAAAAAAAAACCTAGAGGTAATTTGAGCAGTTATTATGAAATTCTAACTTTATTAGATTGTGGATACATGACCATGTTTTTAATGCCCTTATTGAGGCAAATATGACATCATGAGGTTGGATTTTTTTTAATAATACTAAAGTAAATAGATAAATAGAAATTGAATCCATGCAATCAGCCAAGAAATATCAGAGAAAAATCAGACGAGTTTGAATCAACTAGTTAGAGAATTTATCAAAAGGATTATTTGGGTACTTTTGAGTACATATGGTTACAGAGTCAGGGCACAAAGAGGATATTTCATATAAATGAATCAATATAACTTGTAGGTTTCTAGAATGTGTATGGGATACATATTCAGACCACCTCCATTGTTCCCTCTTCCCTGTTGAACAATTCCACAGAGGGACCTAGTAGCGCACAGAAAATATGAATGGAGGGGTCCATGCTTGAAGAGCAGACAGGTTTAATAAATCCCAGCGTTCCCAATTTCTGTGCCCTTTGGGACACTAAGAGTTGAAATTACAACTCTAAATTTGCTAAGTTCTTTCTAACTCCTAATGCAGCTATTTCACTTCCTATGTCCAACCAGCCCCATATATCTCTCTCCTCCCTTTTTTCTTCATTCAGGACCTTCTTAACATGTTAGAATCATTAGCTTATTTGGTTAACTCACTTGACAAACCAGTCACCTGATTGAGGGGGTGGAGTAGGAAAATTATCAAATTAGTTATTTGAATAGATTATGCAGTCTTGTTAAACTGTAAACCTAACTCTGAGAGCTATAGCTTCAGAAAAACTAGAATCTAAAGTTTGCAGTTGACTTTTGAATCATTCTTTATGATTTTAGTCATTCCTTAAAGTGACCTGGGCCAGACAAAAAGTCCGATGTATAATAACAGAGACATGTATGATGGTAAGAAGTGATGGGGAGGAGAGGAGACCCAAGACACCCTTTAGCTGTTGGAGTTGGCTCTTCTGTGAACCTCAGATCAAAAGGGTCTCATAAAGCATGAAAGATTCAATTTAAAAAAAGGTTTTAGTCCATATAATTTTCATACCCTTAGTGGGTATGAAAGGTGGCATACAGAGTGCATATGAGGTAATGCATAATTCAAAAGTGTTGGCATATTGTCATAGGGAATCAAAGCTACAGGAGGCTCAATAGGACCATACCTGGGAATGGCAAGTCATCATGTTCCTAGAATTTATTACCTTCACAAATTGATCCTTCTTTTCAAATTTTCTGTATACCTAAAAATGGATTCTACTCATTTAGCACTTGACATTAAACTTTACTGGACAGTGATTGTGTACTTATAAATAATAGTAATAATAATAAAATAATAATTATAATAGTATAATATGTTACATTTCAGAAAACACTTTTAGATCTATGATTTAATGCTTCCCCTGAAAGTCAATCATTTATTATTCAACAAATATGAATTGAGTGATAACCATGTACAAACCAGTATTTGAGGTGCTTGAGATATGTTGGAAATACTGTTATCAATAGACCGATATCCCTCCCTTCAGAGTGCTTACGTTCTACCAATAAAAGGCAAAACAAACAAACAAAAATAAACACAATAAATAAGATAACAATATAATAGAATACATTTAGAAATTGTTAAGTACAATATTGGAAAAAAAGGCTCCATTGGGCCTGGTAAAGAGGACTGGGAGAGTGGGTTCTGGGTGGACTCCAAGGTGATTCAGACAGTTTAGTTGAACTGAGAAGTTGGATTTGAGCAGGATTAATGAAAAAAAAAATGGGATGAGTAAAGGAGATATGTGGGAAAATGGAACCACAGGTAGAGGGCTCATCTGGGAGAAAGACCCATGGTGGGAAGTGCCTTGTCTGATGTAAACCCAGCCTAGGTGCCAGGATAGAGGGAGGAAGATAAAAACAGAAGCATGTGGAGGGACACAAAATCAGAATCAGGTAAGGAGCTGGTGTTCAGATACTCCAGGGTTTGAAGTTTTGCTGTAAAGATTATCTAAGTTGAATGGAAAGTCATTGCAAAGTACTGTCTTGGGAGCTGAAGGATAACCCAGCTGCAGCATCCATAATGGATGCACAAAGGGCTGGAGTACAACTAATGTTAGGAACCGAATGTAGCAACTCAGTGGAAAAGGATGGAAGTTCAGACTAGTTATAGCAGCAGAGTGGTTAGGACTGGCTAAGCTTTGTATATGTTCTGAAGGTAGAACCAAGGGTTTGCTGATGGTTTGGATGAGGGCCAAAGAAATCAAGAGAGAAGTCAACCAGATTCTTGGCTTGAGCAACTGAAAGGATGGTGTTGCTTTCCACTGAAATGGAGAAGTCTGTGTGTGTGTGTGTGTGCATGCATGCGTACATGCACACTCTCACATTCCTGTATGTTTCAGGAGAATAGGAAAAATCTTTAAATAGGATTTAAAGAAGTTTGCTGTTAGTGAACCAGAATTCCATAAAGAACAGAAGAAACCTTTAGGAAGACGCACAAAACCTTGCAAAGCTTAGGAAACAAGGGATGAAGGCACACTTAAGTTGGCTTAATGATTGACATAAATCATAGTAAGATGCAAAGTAAGATAACAGCATTAGAGGGAAACAGTGGAAACCAGGATGTTTGCTTTCTCATAGGAACTAGTTATTCTCTGTTCACACCCTGACTATGTGGTGTTGTGCTTCTACCCATTAAGCCTAAGAGAATGGGTGCTGGAGCCCCCAAGGAGGTGAGATCTCAGAAAAGTGACTCTGTTTCTCCTGATGTCTATGTGGAAGGGTCTTTACTGCTCTGAGTGTATTTTCTCTGCATTGACTCCTGTCATGGATCCTGGCCTTACAGTAACATCAACACTCAGGTGTTACAGTAAGTCGCCAGCTCCTGTTTAATCCCTGATGATGGGGAAACATGAGCTGAAACCCAAGGCATGAGCCTCTTCTCTACTCAAACCATGCATGGAAGAGGTCTAGGGCATTCATGGTCTATAAAGTGTCACCAAGATGGAGATAAGAATACATTAATACCCCCATTTGGAAAGGAGAGATGGAGAGAGGAGTTGTTTGCTTATGATCAAATATAAATATACCAAACATGAATGTATATAAATCTTTTTTAATGCAAGGATTCATCGATAAAGTTCATAGAGTCATTTGGTAATAGTTTATGAGATCATACCATTTCTAAAATTATTATACTTCATGATAATCCTCCAAATGTAAGAAAAACGTCTGGAAAGAAAAATATTGAAAAATTGCAGAAAGAAAACTATGTTAATAATGTTATTGGAAAGTAAGTGAAAGATTTTAGTCAAAGAGATCTCTCTGGAAGAGAAAAATACTTTAAAATTCAAGGTAGAATTAAAGTGGAAGATTAAAATGTTGGCAGATTATTATCAAAATACTGTTAACTAAATTTGCCATTCATTAGTAATTGTTTGGCACTTAAAGATTTGAATTTTAGCATTTGCCTCACAATTTTTCATTAGACAGATACAGAGAAATATAACAGCAAAGTTAGCCTTCAATGACTTAAGAATTTTGTTAGGAAAGTAGAGAGTATATTTTAAAGATAAGTCAAATATTATTAGCAGATCATCATCATAATTGTCATCATCATCTTTATATTGTATTTAAGTAGAAAGTTTAATTAAAACCAATCATATCAATCATGCTCTTAAATATTTGCCATAGAATTCTAAGATCCATATCATTTTTCCACATATAGGAACCATATTAAGTAGCTGAGACCTAAAGAGAAAGGTGTTGAGGTCTTAAACTAGTAAATGGCTAAGTCAAAGAACTAGTTGCATCAGAATTCTGAGAAGTTCCTACTCTAAAACATGTCTCCAAAGATAAAGGGAAAAATGGCAGTCTCAGAGGGGTATGGTGTGGTAATCAGTTATATCAGAATGAAAGAAATGGATTCCAGAATCCTCAGAAATTAGTCTCAGTACAAAGAGGATTCAAAGAGTAAATGAATGTAGTCATAGGAAAATTGAATAAAAAGAAATGGTCCTGAATTTGTTAATCTAGAAAAAAATGGAAGGCTAAACAAGAAGTAGAGAGAAAAAAAAAGTCAAGAGCAAGAAAGAGTAAAAGTTAGAGACGGAGACAAACACACAGAAAGAATGAGAGAAGAGAAGGGAAATAAGGAGAGGGAGAAACAGAATTATAGATCCGATGCTGTATTGGACTGTTCTCCACGAATTTAGGAATTGCCATTTCAAAAAAAAATGACATTTCTTATTCTCAATATATCGAAGACTTGGAACAAAAGGATATAAAAATGAATGTGAAATTATAATGAATGTATAGAAATCTTTGTGTTTTTTTTTTTGTTTTTTGTTTTTAATTTTTTTTTCAACGTTTATTTATTTTTGGGACAGAGAGAGACAGAGCATGAACGGGGGAGGGTCAGAGAGAGAGGGAGACACAGAATCGGAAACAGGCTCCAGGCTCCGAGCCATCAGCCCAGAGCCCGACGCGGGGCTCGAACTCACGGACCGCGAGATCGTGACCTGGCTGAAGTCGGACGCTTAACCGACTGCGCCACCCAGGCGCCCCTAGAAATCTTTGTTTAACACCAGGTCCATTCACTTGAAGAAAGCCTTATCAAGAAAATCTGTAGCACCACCTGGAAAGACTTGAGGAGATTGCTGCATTTCTAAAATTATTATGCTCTATAATCCTCCTCCAGATGCAAATATTTCACATTTTCTGTTTTGTCCTCATGGAAAAATGTCTATAGCAATAAGGATTAAAGTGCTGATCTAAATGGGGACATTTTGGGGCTTAGCATATTTGCATCCTCCCGATTCCACTCCAGGAAAACTTGCTAGGCATAAAATTCTCAGGAACAGAATTTTAGGAATGATTATGTCCAACATTAGAAGCAGAGTAAAGATGACCCCTGGATGCCCAATTTTCTGACTCCACATCTGTCATAGGTGGCAAGGTAAGAGGAATCGTGTCACAGATGAAAAAGTAAGGTCGGAGAATACCAGAGAACAGTTGGTTGAATGTGTAGATGTAAGACCCATTTGTTACATTGTAAAAGGAGATTTCACCTGCTTCATAGTCCAAAAAAATCCCAATGCAGTGAGGCCGTTCCAGGTGGAGGAGAGGTACAGATGGGGAGGCAAGGACCATGTACTCATTTCCTTTCAGCAGCCACATGGCCCAGACTCCGTTCTCAGGAGAGGGTGTGGTCTCCCCCTTTCTCAGCACCGTCTCTCGACAGACACCTACACCCCACTCTGCTCTTTCTCCTACCATGACCTCCCAGTAATGCCTTCCTGAGGAGAAGTTCTGCAAACCCAGGACACAGGGCCATGTATCAAATCGCTCCGGGTTGTTGGGGAGATCCCTCCACAGCTCTCCGTCCTGCACACTGCGCAGATCAGCAGTCAAGAGGAGGCTAGGATGCGCTGTGACAGGGTCCAGCTTGACATCAACTGTGGGAAGAATTTTGTGGGACATATGAAACGTCAGAAAAGACAGGTAAAAACTTAGGAAGACACAATATTATGGATAATAGTCCATAATACTCCCCATTTCTCTCTCTCTCTCTCTCTCTCTCTCTCTCTCTCTCTCTCTCTCAACTCCTAGAGAAAGTGAAATAAATATTTTACCTTGCAGGTGGCTGACTATTTTCTTCATCACTCACTTGTGTATTCCTCAGTTACCTCTACATGATTCAGAACTCATTATTGCCTCAATAAAAACATAACCATTGATAATATGACAAACCATGTGCATGACCATTTAGATTCCTTTCATCCAAATTCAGAGCACTTGGGTGTTCTTAGGAAGATCTTCCACATTTATTTATTTTTCTCAAAATCCATAGGAAAATTTCATTAATTTGAAATCCACTACTTTCAAAGTTATGTTACTGTGGTAGGCAGAATTCTAAGATGAGCTCCATGACCTTCAGACCCTGGTGCTACTCTCAGGATTATGTTATGTTGTTTGAAAAGAGGAAGATTATCTGAGTGGATCTAATATAATCACACGAATTCTTAAAATGGGGATCTCAGCCCTACAACTGTCAGGACTACATTATGTCTATAAACTGAATAAACTTGGGAGTGGATTCTTCCCCGGACTCTTCAGAGAAGACCAGCTTGGCCAACACTTTAATGTTGATCTTGTGAAACCATAAGGAGAAAAATTAGCTGATCCCACATGGATGTCTGATCTGTATAATTATGAGCTAATAAGCATGTGAGGTTTTAAGCAGTTAAGTCTGTGGTAGTTTGTTATACACCAATAGAAAACCAATATTGATGCTGTGAAGTCCCAGTCAGATTGATGTGAAGTTTTACTTGTGCATGTGTGAAATCTCAGTGAAGAAGGAAGGATGTAAAATATTGAGTGTCTTGTCTTATAAATATTCAAAATAATAAATTTCATCAACATAGTTTTATTTTTAATATCATAATAACAAATACTATTCCAATGACCACTTCTAGCGATCTTGTGTTGAAACCCAAACCTGAGTTGGTCACATAAATAATACCTCATCTCTGCTAATGCATTTACCCACCCACAGAGTGGCCATTATCATCCCCACATTACAGCTGAGGAGACTCAGAATCAGAGCTTATGTGGTCTCTCCATTTTCTAGAAGTCATAAATAACAGACTGAGACATGGTTTTCCATGGAATTGTGCTAGGTGTATTTGATGTATGTTATGTCTTTACACATTATTTCCCAGCCACCACACTTCCTTGCTCCATTTATAAGAAAATAAATCTGTGACATGGTTTCTAATATGGTCTGTCTCCAATTCCTTCCCCAACCCTTCTCTGTTAGATTCAATTGCTCATCACGATATAACAACACTGTAATCAAACTGTCCGTGTCCATCTCCTCAGTGACCTCCACACTGATGAGTTCACCTTAAATTACTTCTCTGTAGCATTAATGCTGTTGAGAATACCCTTGTTCTGAAAAACCTCCTTTCTCTTTCCCAAAGACAGCCATCATCACACTTTCCTTCCCTCTTTTCTCCTCACTTTTTCTTGATCCCCTTTCCTGTTTTCTCCTCTTCTCCATCACTGCCATTGGAGAAACCAGTGGTCTCAGGACCTGGACCTCTTCTTTCTGTCTCAGCACACAATAGTTCTTGGGCTGGTTGGCTCATTGATTTAATTTAATTCCATTAATATGCTTACTGACTCCAAATGCATATCTCTACCTTAGACCTTTCTCCTGAAACTCCATATTTGCAAAATAATTTGCCTACCTGACATCAAACTTTTGAGACTTAATACTCATCACAAGATTGATATGCTCAAAACCCAACTCCCCTCCTTCTACCTCACCTGCCCTTTAACCATCAATGTAAATGGCAACTTCCTTACACCAGCTCTAGAGATTTAAATCTTTGGGTCATTTTGGACTTTTCTCTTTCTCTGACAACTCACATCTAATCCAACAGCAGATCTTGCCAGCTCTACCTTCAAAATATGCCAAGATTCTGTACACACCTCAGCACCTCCAACAGTACCACTCCGATCCAATCCACAATCATCTCTAATGGAATTATTGCAAAGGCTCCTAATTGCTTTTCCCACACAAAGCCTTGCCCCTTTGAATTTATTCTCAGTGAAGCATACAGAGTGAGCCTCTCAAAACATTAATATAATCATGCTATTCCTCCATTCACAGTTTTTTACTGATTTCCTGTTTACTCAAAGGTAAAGCTTCCTGCTCACAGTGACCTGCCCATACCACCCTGTGCTAATTGGCCTTGTCTTGGCCTCTCTGACTCTCCCCTTGTTAATTCTTCCCCAGCTACAGAGACCTCATAGTTCCTGAAACACATTTTCTATATTTCTATCTCAGGCATGGGCACTCATTGTTTCTATTGCCTGGAATGTTTTCTTTCAGATTAGATATCTGATGAGTTATCCCTGAAGGGTCCCTTCTTTATTGTCAAATTCAAGTTTAGATGCCCTACCCCACAAACTTCTGGCTACCCTTACCTTATATTCTGTATAATCTTCTAACATTCTGTGTATTTTGCATAATTTAAGTAAATATTTACAACACAAAGTTATGGATTTGTAGGATTTTTTGTTATTGTTCAATAATATATTTCAATACTTAGAGTAGTGACGGGCATAAATTCATTTTATTGAATTGATTCATTAATTATTTAATTCAGTAAAAGAAATGGGAATATTATGACACTGATTATGAGAGTTTAATAAATTGTAACAATTCATGCAGTTGGTATATATTAATTTTCCCATCATTAACCAGGAGCAGGACTGGTAACATGGGTTTTCTCAATATGGGTCAAAGCTGTCTCCCTGTAAGTAGTGAAACCAATATTTAGCCACAGTTTGTTTTCATTGCTGCATATAACGTGAATTAAAAAAAATAAATACAGTGGTACCTGGGTGGCTCAGTCAGTTGAGTGTTCGGCTTTGACTCAGGTCATGATCTCATAATTTGTGAGTTCGAGCCCCGCATCAGGCTCTGTGCTGACAGCTCAGAGCCTGGAGCCTGTTTCAGATTCTGTGTTTCCCTGCCTCTCTGCATTTCCCCTGTTCGTGCTCTCTCTCTCTCTCTCTCAAAAATAAAAATAAGCATTAAAAAAACACAAAATAAAAAATAAATACAAATATTGAATCTATATTGTTTTAAAGAACAGAATAATCAAATCTAATAGACAAATTTATGTCACCACAGTTATTCGTACACAAAAGTAATTGATTGAATATCATTGGCTCCTCCTCAAGCGACAGATAATAAATCAAATCCCGGGGCGCCTGGGTGGCTCAATCAGTTGAGCGTCGGACTGCGGCTCAGGTCATGATCTTGCAGTCCATGAGTTCCAGCCCCACATCGGGCTCTGTGCTGGGAACTCAGAGCCTCGAGCCTGTTTCAGATTCTGTGTCTCCTTCTTTCTGACCCTCCCCCATTCATTCTCTGTCTCTCTCTGTCTCAAAAATAAATAAACGTTAAAAAAATTTTAAAAAATCAAATCTCTTATTTGATGTACCTTAAGGCTTTTATATTGGTTATTTTTCTGCTTTCAAATATCATTCATTTAGTCTTCCAAACAATAATACATTTTTCAGCATTTTATAAACAGGGAAATGAATATTCATTGGAACTAATTTTACTCAAATCACAGTTAATAAACTAAGAACCACACTTTCAAGTCTATATTGTTCTAACTAAATGTAGCTAAAATGTGTGTTAGTACCTCTGATATTTTTTATAATTATACACATATCTCAGTTTTCTTTCTTCTGAACCAAGTGTTCTCTCCCACCCACCCTTATAACTTGGCATGGCCATGTGACTCACTTTACTTAATAAAATCTTTAGGGAAGCCAGTGTTCCACTGTAGTGTGGTTGCCTTTACGAGCAGTGCCCAAATCGCCATAACCGTGCCCTTTCCCAAAGCTACCAGCAACAGAAAGGAGGTTGGGCTCTATCTGCATGGCTCCCAGAGGGAGATGAGGTGAAACAAAAGCCTCCACAATCCAGAAAGAAGCCAATGACATGATTTAAAAATAGCCCTTTACTGATTTTAGTCAGTAAACTTTGGGTTCTGTTTGTTTCTGCAGACTGACTTCTGCAGTAACACATTACAAAAACAGCCAAACCCTGGGCTCCATAGTTCTCTAAGCTCAAAGATGCAGCCTACCTTGGAACTTTCTCAACATTTCCCTCATCCCAGGGATGTGACACATTGTCTTCAGCTCCATGGGGATGTTCTCCAGTTCCAGCTGTGTGACATCCTTACTTCTGAGAAGGACACAGAACCAATAATTCTCAGTAGGACTTATCAACCACCTTCCTTGTCATCTCCAAACCCATTCCCTGATTCAGAAAGTAAACATACCTGCTCAATGCTTCTCTCACACCCTGAAAGTAAAAGAAATACAAGCAGGTGTGAGTCAGCCCTCTGAACTGCTTTTGACAGATTGGAAACAAACTATGAACATCTCTTTAGGAATGATCAGAAATAATTAACTATGAAGATGAAAATAGAGGAGACATCAATCTCTCTTAACCAAATCCAAAACTTGGCTGTTGACTTTTCTCATGAATTTTAACATAATAGAATCAGTTTGCCTCTATTTGAATAGAATCAGACTACACAAAGTTTAGGTTAACTCCTATGATATCAACCAACTTAATTATTTTTGAATTGATAATTCTGACATTTGGATATTTTAATAGAGAAATACATTCTGGTAACTAATGTGGATGAAATGAAGGTAAAAATAGACCATAAATGTCTCCAGAATTAATTTGAGGGATGATGAAAGGTATAGACAAAAATATATTACTCTCAATGTCTCTGTAAGAAAACCCCAAATTCCTCATTCGTTGAACCAACCTACCATAGCTACGAATTCATATGGAAGTAGGTTTACTAACTGGATAAAAAAGAAAGTCATTAATTAATAGCAACATTTTATCTCAAAGGAGATTATTTAAATAAATCACCTGCCTTAAATTTTCCTTTTCCCTCTAAAAAATACCCGCGTGGTAGATAATTTTCAGAAGGCATAAACACAGGGAAATAATTATTTTTTATGGGACTGGCAGGCTTTGGGGGGTGGGAGGGTAAAATGCTGCTTACTGGTACTGAGGAAGAAAGGCAAAGGTGGATATAACAATCAACATAAATAATTTTAGAATATATTCTCCCTAAGATTTGTACTATAAATCATTTTAACAACTTTTGGTGCTAATAAATGCTAGTTTTAAATTGTGTGTTTTGTGGGGCACCTGGGTAGCTCAGTTGGTTAAATTTCCAACTTCAGCTCAAGTCATGATTTCATGGTTGGTGAATTCCAGCCCCTCATCTGGCTCTGTGCTGACAGCTCAGAACGTGGAGCCTGCTTCAGATTCTGTCTCCCTCTCTGTACCCCTCCGCAACTTGTGCTCTCTCTCTTTCAAAAATAAATAAATGTAAAAAAAAAAGTAATGGTGTGTTTTGAGATATAGTAAGATAAGATGATGAATATTATTATTGAAAATATTAAGGGCACCTGAGTGGCTCAGTCGGTTGGGCATCTGACTTCAACTCAGGTCATGATCTGACAGCTTGTGTTTTTGAGCCTGCATCGAGCTCTGTGCTGACAGCTCATAGCCTGGAGCCTGCTTTGGATTCTGTCTCCCTCTATCTCTCTGCCCCTCCCATGCTCACACTCTGTCTCTCACACAAAAATGAATAAACATTAAAAATATATATAAAAATTAGAAAAAAGGAAAATGTTAAACTTTCTGTGTATATTTACTGTGTGATTTTCAGAAAATTAATTCCTTTCTCATACTTAGTGTGCTCACAAGGAAATGAGCATAGTAATAGTAATACTATGTATTACTATGTATACTATGTATACTAATGTATACTAATGTATACTAATGTATATTAGTATACTAATGTATACTAATGTATACTAATGTATATTAGTATACTAATGTATACTAATGTATACTAATGTATATTAGTATACTATGTATACTAATACTAATACTACTACTACTAATAATAATAAATTTTGTGTAGATACAGATATATTGAAGACAAAATGAATTAAGTTAGACAAAATAAATAAAAATGCATTGTAAGTTCATTCATTCAATGACCTCCCCCAACTATGTAACCAGTGCTGTTTATTCATTGTACTTGTAAACATTATATAGATAGTTAATATGAATATTTATTTCATGGTACTTTCAGTGTCTGGAACTAACTCAGACAAGGTGGAATCTGTGGGTCAGTGGCTAAGGGATGATATGAATTACTTAGTTCAGAATATCCTGATGAGTCACTGGGGATGAGACAGAATGAAATATAACCAGAAATCTTTGACTGCAGTAGATTCTATCATGATAATATGCGTACATTAACAACAATGACTTTCTCAGTTCACTTGGGATTTTGATGACCTCCTGGAGGGTTAAGAACAAATATTTTTTCTTGTTATTTGTGTCTCTGCTGTATAATCCCTACTGATTATAAGGAAACTGCATGAAACCCACTGAATCCCTCTTCACTTTGCCTGGAATAGGCATGCAATATGGACAAGGAAATTAGTGTTTGCCATAAGATTTAACAGGAAAACTTCAAGCTGAACAAGTTAAACCATCATTCATATTTTCAGCTCTGACATTGAAATGAATTACCAAAGACTTTTGGAATTGGCCATCACTAAAATACAGCATATCATCATTGACAGATCGACTATGAAGTTTTAAGAAGTGTTTTTCATGAAGCCCCTGGGTAGCTCACAGTTAAATGTCTGACTTAGGCTCAGATCATGATCTCAAGGTAATGAGTTTGAGCCTGGCATTGGGGTCTGCGCTGACAGCTCAGAGCCTGGAGCCTGCTACAGATTCTGTGTCTCCCTCTCTTTCTGCCCCTCCCCTGTTCTCTCGCTCTCTCTCTCTCTCTCTCTCTCTCTCTCAAAAAAAAAAAAAAAGTAAGTGTTAAAAAATTTAAAAAGAAGTGTTTTGCAGGAAACATAGCAAAGATTGTCCATTTTCTGGTTAACCTTATAGGTAAGATACCGAATTAATTTTACTTTTTAAAAAATACTTAAACTTTTCTCTCTACTATGAACTATTTTATAGAATTGTGTAGGGTCCCTTCTCATTCTGATGCTAGGACTTCAAATTAAGGTGCCTCACACATACATTCTAGGGTGTCCTTTTGCTAAAAAGCATGAATGACTATGTGACTTGTCTCTGAAAGCAGCTATTTGTCCCTGTGGTCTGGCACTTGAGCCTCCCTGTGCCAGAGGCACCCAGGCTTACCTCCAGCAGCCCCAGAGCTGGGCGTTGGAACCTCTCCTCCAGCTCCTCAGCCAGCTCCTTCAGAGCCTTGCTTTGCTGCCCCAGAAGGTTCTTGCTGTGCCGCAGTCTCTGCAGGGTGGCTCGCTCCTCCTCCTCCATCCTCCGCAGCTGGAGCTGCTCCTCATGGGCCAGGAAGCCACGATACTTCTCAAACTCCAGCCTGAAGCGCTGCCTCTGCATCTCCACTTTTTCCTGGAGTGACACAGGGGATCAGAGCATCAGCAGTGGGGGCACAGCGTCTGGCTTCCCCATGCAGGTATGGGACAGTGAGGCTGGAGGCAATGTCTGTGAATGAATGGGCTGCATTTTAACAACATGCAGGAACCAGAGGCCACTAGAGTTTGAGAAGACAGTTGGATTTGGGTTCCCATTTTGCCATGGAGTTGGGTACAAGGCACTTTTATAGGCAAGTTTTTGAGCCACATTTTAAATATGGGGAGAGGCACCTGGGTGGCTGAGTTGGTTGAGCATCCCACACTTGATTTCGGCTCAGGTCAGGATCTTGTACTTCATGAGTTCAAGCCCTGTGTGCTCTGTGCTGACAGCATGAAGCCTACTTGCAATTCTCTCTCTTCCCTTCCCCCACTCACTCTGTCTCTCTCAAAATAAATAAATAAACTTTATTTTAAAAAATAAAATATGGAGAGAGGTACCTGCATGGCTCATTCAGTTGAACCTCTAACTCTTAATATTGTCTCAGGTCATGATCCCAGGGTGATGTGATCGAGCTTGCTGAGCATGAGGCCTGCTTAAGATTCTCTCTCTCTCTCTCTCTCTCTCTCTCTCTCTCTGGGCACCTGGGTGGCTCAGTCTGTTAAGCGTCCAACTTCGGCTCAGGTCACGATCTCGCGGTTCATGAAGTGGAGCCCCGCGTCAGGCTCTGTGCTGACAGCTCAGAACCTGGGGCCTGCTTCAGATTCTGTGTCTCCCCACTCTCTGCCACTCCCCCCACTCATACTCTGTCTTTGTCACTCAAAAATGAGTAAATGTTAAAAAAAATTAAAAAAAAGAAAAAGATTCTCTGTCTCTCCCTCTGTCCCACTCCCCTGATTGTGCCTTCTCTCTAAGATAAAATAAAACAAATAAAATATGGGGAAACAGGTGTATGGTATGGGAATTAAAATTGCATATCTATTAAACTGCTGAGCAGAATGACTAGCAAGGAATAGCTGCATAATGAAGTTAAAATACATTATTATACTATACATAAAATACATTATAGATTATTACACTAGAGGGACATCTGGGTGGCTCAGTTCCTTAAGCACTGGGATCAGCTCAGGTCATGATCTCAAAGTTGGCGGGCTCAGGCCCTATGTCTGGCTCTGTGCTGACAGTGCAGAGCCTGCTTGGGATTCCGTCTCCTTCTCTCTCTGCCCCCCCCCCCCACACTTGCACTCTCTCTCAAAATAAATAAATAAACTTAAACAAAAAAGAGCCAGATTTAAAAAAAAATATTCACTAGAATGAGAACAGGGTGGAAATAACTTATGAAAAGAGCTTACAGAGACCTAGATTTGTAAATGTGAAAAAGAGTCTTAGGGAGTAGAGATGTGAATATTACTTAGTAATATCGTAATTGTGAAACCTAAGGCTAACAGTCTCTGTATAGCCCAAAAGTAAATAAATGATTGTCAGGCCATTTACCGCAGAGTTGACTTCAGGAAATTAATACTGATTTCCACCCAAATCTCACATCTCCATTTTTTAAATAGACCTAAGGAATATACTTTGATGCAGCATTATTATACACAGAGACATACATTTTTTTCTCTTCATACTGATATGTGGAAAACTAGCTTTAAACTGAGTATAGGTGGCAAGTTAACCTCCCACAGTCTCTCATTTTGGATTCCCAGGCTCATTGCTAAACATTATAATGCCTTGGTTTGATTAAAGGGCATAAGCTATCACTTTCTATTTTATTTTTTTAATTATCATTATTATGTTAGAGACAGAGAGCACAAGTTGGGGAGCAGAGCAGAGAGAGAGGGAGGGAGAGAGACTTGGATTATTAGCCCAAAAAGAACAAAAATTATCATTAAGTATTTAACTACATGTAACTACATACATTAACTACATATTGCATAGCAATAGAAAAAGATAAGACTCAACACAGAAGAAAAATGTAGCCTAAATGATCCTTATGGAAATATCTGTCTGGGGAGAGTGTATAAAACAAAAATTTTAAGAAAAGAGTAAGGAAAGAATTAGAAAAATATAGGAGCACCTAATGGCTCAGTCCATTAAGCCTTTGACTCTTGATTTCATTCAGCTCAAGTCATGATCTCACAATTTGTGAGTTCAAGCCCCACGTTGGGCTCATCACCATGCTGACACTACAGAGCTTGCTTGAGATTCTCTCTCTACCTCTCTTTCTGTCCCTCCCCCACTCTGGTGTGCATTCATGTGCTTGATCTCTCTCTCTCTCTCTCTCTCAAAATAAATAAACTTAAAAATATAATTAGAAACATTATAGAATATGATCACAGAATAAGGGTTATTTGGAGACAGACAAATAATAGAAATACTCTATAAAATAAATCCTATATATATATTATATATTATTTACATATAACTTCTATGTATAATTTCTCAATCTTGACCCTAATGATATCTTACCAGACTATTCTTTATTATGAGTTTCACATTAAAATTTAAAAAAAAAATGGGGTGCCTGAGTGGCTCAGTCGGTTAAGCATCCGACTTTAGCTCAGGTCATGATCTCAAGGTTAGTGGGTTTGAGACCTGCATAGGTTCTGTGCTGACAGCTCACAGCCTGGCACCTGCTTCATATTCTGTGTCTCCCTCTTTCTCTGCCCATCCCCCCTACTCACGATGTATCTCTCTCTCTCAAAAATAAATAAACATTAAATTTATTTTTTTTTAATTACGAGCTTCCATGGGCTGTCCTGTGCTTTGTATGGTGTTTAGCAGCATGCTTGCTCTTCACGCATGAAATTCCAGTAGCGAGCCCACTCCCCCCCGCCAAACTGTGAGAACCAAAAATATCTACATATATTGTAAAATATCCTTTAGAGGGCAAAATCACTGCAGATTGAAATCACTGTGTGTGGTATGTGTGTACGCATGTGTGTGTGTATGAAGAGTTAAGTGAAAAAACTGGTGAACTGTAAAAAAAAAGGACATATATATGAATTACTGAAAAGAGGTGAAAGTTCACATTATCTTCCTATCTGTAAGATGATCACTATTAGCTATATTTCATATCTATCAATGCTGCGAAGTATTTATTATGCCATTCATCCTATATACATACATATATATATATATATATATACATATACACACACAAATACATATATTTTAAACTAGTGATGATAGTATGAGACTCTTTTCTAGGTATTAGGAATAGAGCAGTAAATTATAGTAAGATTAAGATCAGTAAAACTATCTATTTACAATTTGGATTGGGGTACTATTAATAGAGATAAAAAGAACACACATACATGATGTAATTTGCGGGGATGGGATGACCCAGGATGACACTGAGATATTTCCCAAGAGTAAGTATATAAATGGAACAAAAGTACTGGAGCAGGAAAAATGGTTGAACAGTAATTTAATGACCCAAACTTGGATCTTTCGGAAAAGCAAGCCTCCTGAAGTTCGAAGAATCTCTTACCTTCCAAATGATAGTTTTCTTCCCCACATTGACCTCCTGAGTCAAGGCCTCCTCCATCTTCTTTCTTACCATTTCCAGGGCCCTCTGGAGCTTTACCTGTTTGGAAAGATACACTGAACCCATTGTATATGCCCTATTTCAGTACCTGGCATCAACTAAGTTAACCAGGAAATACAAAGATCAATTAAAACAGGCTTTAGTGAGCACATAAAAATGTTTAACCTCATTAAGGATTAAGTAAAATATAAATATATTTTTAAGTATTAATGCCAGGTATAATTAAAGGTTTATCTAAATATATGTTCATTGCAGCATAATTTAAAATAGTAGGACTCTCTTTCCTTTGGGCTGTGGACATACCATCCATATTGCAGAAGATCTTGAAGCTTAGGGGCCACATGAGCCACAGCCATGGCTGCACTGGGAAGCACAGAAGCACCCAGGAGGCCAGGGTAATGCTGGCCTCATGAATCACCATAGTTATCAACTAACCTCCACAAATATTGCCCAGGTTACTTTGGAAAAGGTGGTATAAGTGAGACATTACCACTTAAAGAGGAACCAGAGTGTCTGCTCTACTGTTAGCTTTGATAAACAGTGGACACGTCAGTGAGCAGACACCGGGAAATGCTGTGAGAAACAAGACTGGAGCTGCCCCTATCATCGATGTGGTATGATCCGGCTACTACAAAGTTTGGGGAAACAGAAAGGTCCCAATACAGTCTGTTATGGAGAAGGTCAAATTCCTCAGCAGAAGAGCTGAGAAGAAGATTAAGGGTGTGGTGATGGGGTGTTGGGAGGTTGCATCCTGGTAGCTTGAAATGCTAACAAGTGCTTTTCAAAATAAATAAATTAAGTAATAAAATAAAATGAAATAAAATAAACAAAATAGTAGAATTGTAACTTCAAGTGTCAACAATAAGAGAGTGAGAAAAATATATTTTATATTAACATGATGGAACTAAAATAGTGTGTTGCAAAATACTGAATGACAAGAAATATTCACAATTATAAAATAAACTGAAATAAGTGTATTTTATATAATATGCCACCAATTTTGGGAAAAAAAAGTACTTGCAATGGATATATAAAAACTAGTTAGCATCAAATGTTCAGTAGACAAATTTGCATCTTAATTAGTGCTTGGTTGAAAGTGTATACCTTTTTTTTAAATAATCTGATTTAACATTTACTTATTTTGAGAGAGACAGACAGAGTGAGCAGGAGAGGGACAGACAGAGAGGGAGAGAAAGAATCCAAAGCAGGCTCCGCACTGACAGTAGAGAGCCCAATGTGGGGCTTGAGCTCATGAACTGTGAGATCATGACCTGAGCTGAAGTTGGATGCTCAACTGACTAAGCCACTCAGGCACCCCAAAAGTGATGTTATTCCTTGTATCTATATATTTAAACTTCTTAATATTATTTATTGATTTATAATAAGAAAATTGTTTATTATTATTTGGTCAACTGAAACCTTGCAAATTACTAATGCTTAAATGAAAAGAAGATAGAGAATGTCATAAATCTTATGAGGAATTAACAAAAAAAACAGAAACTATATCTCCTTTCAACCACTGCTAGAAATAAACACATACATTTTATCTACAGAGAACACCCATAAAGATACGCAATATGCATATTTTTAAATTTGTCCCAAGTCATTCAATAAATCTTAGGAAAAATGGGGGGGGAGGAAACTCTTTCTAAAGCCATTTAATAAGTCTTAAACAACAATTGACTTTAAAAAGAAACTTCTATAATCTTATCCATAGTGCTCTACATAAACTAGCAGTAGAATTTATGGAAACGTTTGACAAGATGGGGGAAGTGGCATTGGTTTTAGTGTTTGCAAGAAATAGAACTGTGACACTTAGAGGAAAGCTCCCTTGGGCGGAAGAAACTGTGAGCAAAAGCAAGGAGGGGAAAAAGATGTGGCCTGTTTGGGGACCACAGTGATCAGGCTGGTTTTGTTGGACCTCATGGTTGGTTAAGACAAGAACTGTGGAAACAGAAGTTGGGGCCCTAGAAAGTCTTGACTGACAGGTGAAGGAGTTTAAAAGATATTTATCTGGCATTTAATTAAGGACTACTGAAATATAAGGAACTTCTTGAGACATATTACATGCAATCAAGTTAGATTGAGGTAACTTCTGGATAAAAAGAAAGCAGGGACAACATGCTTTAAAAGTGTAGGTAGAAAGTAGCTGGCACCTGAATTTTGTAGATGACAACAACAAAAAACAAACAAACAAACAAAAAAACTAAGAGATATTTCTAGGTGTGTCAACAAGGAAATTGAGGTAAGAAATGTCTCAAAACCTTAATTTAAAACAAAGTTAAGGGGCACCTGAATGGGTCAATCGGTTAATCATTCAACTTTGGCTCAGGTCAAGATCTCAGGTTCCTGAGTTTGAGCCCTGAGTCAGCTCTGTGCTGACAGCTCAGAGCCAGGAGCCTGTTTCAGATTCTGTCTCCCTGTCTCTCTGCCCCTCCCCTGCTCATGCTCTGTCTGTCTCTCTCTCAAAAATAAACATTAAGAAAATTTAAAAAGTAAAACAAAATTAAAATAATAACATTATTATTATTTTAGAAATTCAATGTTTGCAAATTATTTCATTGTGATAGTATTCAGTTAGACATGTCAGTAGATTAAAGATGACTTTGATCTCCTTTGTGGTAGTAGCTGTTCCAGATGTTGGGAATTTAAACATGATCAGATGGGGTGCCTGGGTGGCTCAGTCAGTTAGGCATCTGACTTCAGCTCAGATCATGATCTCACTGTAAGTTTGAGCCCTGCATCAAGGCTCTGAGCTGACAGCACAGATCCTCCAGGCTCCAGCACAGAGCCTGGAGCTGTTTCAGATCCTCTGTCCCCTCTCTCTCTCTGTCCCTCCTCTGCGCTCTCTCTCTCTCTCTCTCTCTCTCTCTCTCTTTCTCTCAGTTCCTCCCTCAAAAATAAATAAGCATTAAAAAAAAAAGACATGATCAGGATATGTCAAAGAACTCTTGAAGAGCATCAGTAGGGAAAATTCTGTTAGAGTTTCACAGATGCCACTTTGAGGGCCAAATACTCCAATACGAGTCCTGTCCGCATTGAGGATGCTCACATCATCAGCTGCCAAATAGGTGTTGAAGAGAGACTGGCCTGTGTGCTTACCTACTGGACTCTTACTTCAGGGTACACATGCATCTGCAGACTTTACAAGTGATCAGAGCTGTGTACTCACAGACACTATTCTTAACAAGTGTCCAAACCCCGGCATTGTTTTGGTGACAATATTAATCAACATAGAAGCATTATGAAAAAGCAAGGCATTATACAACTGGGAGTTGTTAAGAAGTATTTAAAATAAAGACACACACCTGTAACCAAGAACCAATTGGATAACACAACCCTCCACACCAGAGGTCTTGCTGTTGGAACCAGAATGTCAGCATCAGCAAGAATAAAACCAAGAGAAGGGGCACCTGGGTGGCTCAGTCAGTTGAGCATCCAACTCTTGACTTGGCTCAGGTCATGATCTGAAGGCCTATGGGTTTGAGCCCCACTAGGGGCTCTGCACTAAGCCTACTTGGGTTTCTCTCCCTTTCTCTCTGCCATCTCCCCTGCTCTCTCTCTCAAAATAAATAAATAAACTTTAAAAAAAAAAAAGATGAAACTAAAAAGCTAGGGAAGGCTTCATGGGAAAAGGGACAGTCTAAAATAAGGGCGCATTTGAACTCCTGAATAGAAGTCCCAAAAGGGGGTTACTATAAGGCAAGGAGACCGAACTTGAATGTGGGCTATGAGAGACAGGATGTGGAAAGGGCACAGATCAGGATAGTATCATGTGGGTTTGTCCCTAGGGTTTGTCACTAACACCTGTGGCTCAGTCCGCTCGGATGTCTGGGCCGCATTTGCAGACTCGCAGTGGGGGCCTCTCCACGTGTGCTTTGCAGGGTGCGCACAGGGCTCTCACCTGGTAACACCGAGCTGCCTCTTGCAGAGGCATGGTGTGGTGACTCCTGTGTTCAGCAGTCGTGTCACAGACCCAGCACAGTGCCTCCTGGTCCACTTCGCAGAAGAGGGTCAGTTCCTCGCAGTGCTGCGCACACAGGCGCACTCCCACCGGCCCCGCGCCGAGCCCCAGCTGCCGCACGCTGTCCACCAGGCTGGCCAGCTGCCGGTTGGGCCGAAAGCTCTCCAGCCCAAAGGGGCCCCGGCACTGCGGGCAGGCATAGAGGCCGCCCTGCGCGATGTCAGACTTCTCACAGAACTCCGAGATGCACCTGAGGCAGAAGCTGTGGCCACAGGCCACGCTGACCGGATCCTGAAGGAAATCCAGACACACCGGGCACCTAGCCTCCTCGCGCAACCGCTCCCCAGGTGCCCCAGAGGCCATGGCAAGCTGGAAGTCGCCTGGCCCCGCTGATAGCAGTGCTCTCTTCCCCTGCGCACGCTATCTGGGCCAGTGCTCTGGCACAGAAGGGAGGGACTCTACAGCGTCAGAAGATGCAGGCCCAGGAAGGGTTTTATCCACTGGCTCCGCTCCAAGAGTCCAAACCAGCCACTCCCTGGGAAAAGTCATAGCTCAGACAACCCTCAGTTACAAAGATAAAATTAACATTTTATTTTTTTTTTTTTAATTTTTTTTTTCAACATTTTTTATTTATTTATTTTTGGGACAGAGAGAGACAGAGCATGAACGGGGGAGGGGCAGAGAGAGAGGGAGACACAGAATCGGAAACAGGCTCCAGGCTCTGAGCCATCAGCCCAGAGCCTGACGCGGGGCTCGAACTCACGGACCGCGAGATCGTGACCTGGCTGAAGTCGGACGCTCAACCGACTGCGCCACCCAGGCGCCCCAAAATTAACATTTTAAAATAGTGTTTAATAATGTTAACCCTGGCCTCCTGGGAAACTGAACATTTCTAACGGAATCCCTCACACTCTACCTTAATGGAGCCCCTAATCTCATGTTTTCACTGTCAGTGCATTTGGAGAATGGTTGAGCTCCTGCCTTTTGTTACTTTCTGAACTATTCCATGGTCTCCTTATCCTTATAAGACATAATAAGTTCTTAAAATATGTTCCAAACTTTAATTTGTCTACTCCTGTTTAATTAGCTCATGATAAAGAAATGAGTAGGGGAACCTGGGTGGCTCACTCTGGTAAGCACCTGACTCTTGATTTACGCTGACATCTTGATCTCTGTGTTTGTGAGTTGGAGCAGTGGGTGGCGCTCTGCCCTCCCAGCACAGAGATTGTTTGGTATTCTCTCTCCCCACTCTGCCCCTCTCCACTCTCTGTTTCATTCTTTCCCAAAATAAATAAATTAAAAAAAAAACAAAAACAAAAACAAAAAAAATGAAATGAGTAGATTAAGTAGGCTGCTGTGGAGATGTTGCAAATGTGTGTAGGATAATGATAGGTGTATAGACCAGCGATGATTCAGAACAGAAGTATCTGGCATAGTTCAATGAGGGTCCCATAAGGACTGCATACTTGTTATTACTGTTGCAAAACTGTAGGCTGAGGCTTTCCTCAGAAGGAATAATTCAAGCAGAGTCCATCAGTGCTCCTTCACCTCTGAGATGGGGAGACTGAGAAAAAGGCATAAGGAGCAAGATAATTTGAAGACAGGATATGATGCCACTCAGGATAAGCATGGTGAGGCCATTAGGTCATCTGGAAGGTGGCAAATACAGGGAGTGTCTGTCACTGTGCAACATGTAATTTCCATTCTGTGGAGTTTGGAGTGATGGTGGGTATGCCTGGACCTAATTATCCGGTCTCCCTCAGCACACGTGTGTCAGTAGTCAGACTCTCGGACACAAGTGTAAGAGAAAGATATAACCGGCATCTCTCAAGGAGCCTTAAGACACGTCATGAGCACTCAGGCAATTACAAAGAACTAACTAGGAGAAAGGATGTTCACCCATGCACAAGAAGATAATAGAGGACTCTGAACTAGCCTGCATGGTTGGGCTGTAGCCCTCGGGGAGTCTCTGAGCTAACAACTGAGGTGTGAGTACAAGCAGTAAGCAGGAAGGGAAGCCACACACAGAGGACACAGGGTGCACAGAACTGAACTGTATGGGAGGGAGCAGCATACACCACCTGACAGCCATCCAGGCAGGCTGGTATGTGGGACCAGATGACGATGAGTGGCTGCCGATAAGGTCCCAGTGAGAGGCTGGGACACATGACTCAGGTGTTTGGGGCTGATGTGAGGTTTGTGTGTCCTTATTCTAAGGATAAGTTCTTAGCCTGAAGTTTTGGTGGTGGGCAGGGTCTGAAAGGTTTATCTGTCCAAAGTCTTGGTGGATAAAAAAAAAAAAAAAAAAAAAAAAAAAAGATTCTTTGAGAACAAACAGATGCAGGTATGAGCTGAACAACAGAGATGTGGAGTTAGAAAAGAAAGCAAAAAACAGAGGGCTTCTCTCTAGAAAAGCAGACCTGGCCCAGGCTGAATGAGCTGGTTATTTGTAAGAGCACCAGTCGGGGAAATTCTATTTTCTAGCTAACAAGGTTTAGATAAAGCCAAGTCCACATTTCTGTGCCAAACTTCCTCTAAAATATGAGGACATTGTTAGTGCCACTCATACAGGACTGTTCAGAGGATCAAATGAATTCATAGATAACACACATTCAGGTCACTCTCTGGCAGTAAGTATATTTAATTCAAGAAATAGCAAAATAGCAAAGGGGTGCGCAGGTGGCTCAGTCAGTTGAACATCCAACTCTTGGTTTTATCTCAGGTTGTGATCTCATGGTTTCCTGGGTTCAAACCCCTCATCGTGCTCTGTGCTGGTAGCATAGAGCCTGCTTGAGATTCTGTCTCTCTCTGTCTCTCTCTGTCTCTGTCTCTCTCTCTCTCCTCTCTCTCTGCCCCTCCCTCACTAATGCACATTCTTTCTTTCTCAAGGTGAATGAATAAACCTACAGAAAAAAAGAGAAAAGAAAAGTAGCAACATAAATGGAAGAAGCCTGGTGAGACACTTTAAGCACATTGAAATAAGGAGGTTTTTGTTGTTGTTGTTGTTGTTGTTGTTGTTGTTGTTGTTTTGCAAAAGGTGGGGGTTCTGTTTTTTTCAATGCTGTATCCCCTGGTACCTTGAAGAGTGATTGGCACATTTGGACACTCAGTAAATACTAATTGAATAAATAATAAATGAATGAACAGAATCAGTACAGTTTATCCTAGAAGATAATGGATGAGGGAATTTCAAAGATGAAAATATTATGTCAAAAGTGAGTTCCAGGGTGCCTGGGTGGCTCAGTCGGCTGGGTCTCTGACTCTTGATTTTGGCTCAGGTTATGATCAAACCCTGAGTCGGGATGAATGTGGAGCCTACTTGAGATTGTCTCTCTCTCTCTCTCTCCCTCCTGCGCCCCTCTCCCAGTTGTGTTCTCTCTGTCTCTAAAAATGAATAAAACGAAAAAAAAATTAAAAAGTGAGTTCTATATTTTTCTAAAGTTTACAAATATTAGTTTGTTTGTTTTTTTATTTATATTCCTGAGACTCTCAGTGATGCTAGAAACTTTTGCATTTTATTGGGAGACACAACACTTGCTCAAATGTATGGATGAATTCGTAACACAGTTTTGCGTGTAGATTTCCTAATTCCTAGGAGGCTTAGAGAAGCTTGCTGGCTTCCAGTTTAAGAATCACAGTGGTTTTCAGAAGGGTGAGGCAGAGTAAGTGAATTGATGTCAGATGGCATTTCTTCCCACTGATTCTAGGCTAGCAGCATTTAAGATCTGTTTTGTCTCCAGACTTTTTAGCCTAGGAATGAGGTCTGTGCCTTCATTGCTGTTAGAAAAACACATTCCCTTGTACAGATAAATTGTGGACTGGATTATAATTTGATTTCATTGTAATTAAAATGCTATGTGAAGGGACTCCCTGAGCACTGTCTTATTTAATAGGGTTGGTCTAACTTAAATTTGTGTTTTCTCATGATCTTTCTTCTAAGGTGAATAAAACACCTCTATATGTTGATACAACCATATTTTGGTGAGCTCCTCTCTTACTTTGGGCTCTTTTTCAGGTTGAATAGCTCCAAATGCCCTCCCCCAAACATCACTAATATTCCTTCTCTAATTCTCTCCATTTGTGTCCTGCCATCTCTAACAATATGGGGTCCTCCACCTTTTTAGTATTCCTCCCTAATCACATTTCCTAACTTCTTAGGCATAAAAGAAGGCTCTCTCAGGCATCCATATTTTCTCCCCCAGCTTGAGTTCTATGTCCTTTCACCAGGACTCTCAGCCCTCCCTGGCCATACCATTTGCCTCAGCTCTGGGGATCCACTATCTCCTGGACCCAAGCTCATCCTACTCCACAGGAAAAAAAAAAAAAGTGCAAACCTCAAAAGCAACAGCCACTGACACAGCACATTACTTCCTGTTTGTGGCTTTTAAAAGGATCTTGGTTGGTTTTCATTCAGCAGTTACACCCTGCATTTTTGTGGTTCCTTTTTTCCCAGAGACTACATTGGTGAGTCATTGAGCTAACATTTTCAAATGTCTTCTATGGACACAGCCTCAGTTTTCCTAGTTAGGTAAGAGGCACCTGCATCCAGTGTGCCTCCGTGTTTTCATGGAAGGAATCCAAAAAGAAAAGTTGAAGTAGAGAAGTTTCCTCATGACTATAAGGGAGAACCAAGGGTACAGTGGGCAAATGCCACCGCTTGGCCAGTTTCACACACACATGAGCTCTGTCTGTGCTTGTTGACAGATAAAGACTTATGTAGTAATGTTATATATATTTTTGTTAATGTTTATTACTTTTATTTTTGAGGGGGGGGGTAGTGAGCAGGGGAGGGGCAGAGAAAGGGAGACAGAGGATCCAAATCAGGGTCTGTTGCAGGGCTCGAACCCATGAACTATGAGATCATGACCTGAGCTGAATTCAGATGCTTAACAGACTGAGCCAGCCCCAGTAAATTTATATTTAAAAAGTGACTTACATTATAATTTTCTTGTAATTAATTTGATGTATTGAAGGACAAAAATGTATCCTGTTCATATTTTTATTCCAAAGTCCCTTCGCTCTGGGTTTGCCCAGAGTAAGGGCCCCATATAGTTTCTGGAATAAAATAACAAATACAATGTCCCAGGTGAGATATGCAATCTTTCTCTGAAAGAAATGTTGTAAACCCCATCCATATATTAGGAGATATCTGAGATGGGAACACATGCAGGGAGTGGAAGCAGACCCTGTCTTAACTGTTCTTCTATGTCTAATGTTTGATGATGATGCTAGTGTCCTCTGCAGGCCTGTGCAGATATGACACTCCTCCTCCGTAGACGGGGTTAGGAATGTGGAGCCAGGTATTGGGATCAAATGCAGAGCTAATTAAGAGGGCACCTGCGTGGCTCAGTCGGTAAAGCACCTGACTGTTGATTTGGGCTTAGGTCATGATCTCTCACGGTTCATGAGTTCAAGCCCTG